GTGAGGGCCAGGGCGACCTGGGGGTGAGGGCCATGGCGACCTGGGAGTGAGGGCCAGGGCGACCTGGGGTGAGGGTCATGGCACCGGGGGAGGTTACCTGAAAGGCAAGAAGCCTCCAACAGTCATGTGGATGAGAGTAGACTTGTACCAAGGCTGTGGCGGGATTTCCCGGGCGATGTTCTTGGTGCGACAAGGTGCATCAAAGGGGCTAGCGTTGTTCTTCCCGAAGATGCCTCCAATGACAGTCAGGGGAAAGCCCACCAGCAGCCAAACCGTGAGAAGCAGCAGGATGGTGGTGGCTGGCAGAGCCTGCGTCGACCCATTGGCCCAATGTACCGAGTTCACCACACTCCACGTCAGGAAGAAAGGTACTGCAGGGAGGGGCCCCCACAGGGAAGGTCAGCATGAGGAGCTACGTGCCTGGGGACACCCACTCAACCTGACCAAGGTGGGCGAGGGTGAAGCTTCCTGCCCCCAGGCAGACTGGACTCTTCTGTATCCTATTCCTTATTTGTTATCAACACATCTTCCCTGTTCATTATCATGAAGGATCAGGCTGCTATGAGGTTCTGATGTAAAAGTGAAACTATCCACCTGTCCCCCCACCCCCCACCCCGGGCCTTGTCTGCTGGGACATCAGTGAGTGCTCACATGACACAATTCTTTGGATTAAAGCCCTGTTTTCAGGGTTCAAACACATAGTGATGAAATATAAATTACACATGAGATTAAAACATGAAAGGTTTCCTGTGCAAGCTGCTACTGCCTTTTGGGTAGCCTACCTCCAAAGTAAAACCTCCTGTGCTAGCCATGCTGCTCAGGGCATTTAAGGACTGAATTTAAAACTATACGCTATATAAAAGAACCCATTCTTGTCTTTTGGGTAGTTTTCTAATTGTTTCTTTCCTCTATTTTCATTCTCTTAAAGCTTCAATTTGATTCTATCCCAGGTTCTATGATATGATATGCTCTAAGTTCCAAAGTCAGCCCACGGGGGAAAGGGTGGTCCTTACCAGAAAAGAGACTGGTGGTGAGAATAATGTTCCACACCCAACGCTCACCACCAATCTGCCGGTAGAAGTGGCTGGACACGTAGCCAGAGATGCAGCAGGTCAGGGCATACAACAAGATGGCCGCTGAGTTAATGGCCCCGTGACGGTGCACATTGAACATGCCCAGCAGCGCCATGACAATAATGCCTGTAGAGTAGCCGTGGAGAGCCTATGTTAGGTTTTCCTTGTCACTCTTTTAACAATTTCAGAGAAATCTGTCCCCTTTCTCCCAGACCCAGGCCCTCCAGCAGCAAAACAATACCCCTCAATTCTGTCGTTTAGAAAACCCACAAGAGACTATTTATATCCTTGCTAGAGCCACCCAACCCTTTAGGCTTGCCCCTCACCTTGGACAGAAGAGAAGATCCACAGACCTTTTCTGAATAAATCACCTACTTAGTTCTAGCCCTTAAGAGAAAACCCTGATAGGCCCTCCCTGGTGGCACAGCAGGTTAAGACGCAGCACTGCAAGCTAACCACAGCTAATTCAGCGCGATTTCAATTCCCAGCTCTGGAGGTGATCTTCTTGGTGCAGCAGACCTCTCCTGTCTCACCCGCTGCTCCTCTCAGCAGTGTACCTTATCAATCTGCCTGTTCTGCTCCCCACTGTCTCTGGTGAATCCTCTCACTGCCCCTGCACCTCTGGTCTGTACCCCAGTTCTGTATGCATAAATAAATCTTAAAAAAAAAAAGAGGAGAGAAAACTCTGATTAATTTGTATCACCTCACCAGTGCCAAGGGCCAGGAACTGGGCACCCACACCCAGCACAGCACAGAGCAGACCACGGTATGGAGGGAAGCGGAAGACATCTGTATGGATAATTTTCCAGCCATTGTCACCTTGGTCAAAGTCATCACCAGACCCTCCAGAGGACGTCTCTTCATCCAAATTGTACCGAGCCAGGTCATTCCGAAGAACACGCATGAGAATGACAGCCACAAAACCAACCAGTAAAAACACAAGCACCATGGAATTGATAATGGACAACCAGTGGATCTCTAGTGTTCGGGGAAAGAAACCGCTATCATCACCACGGCGCCTGTCACTCCGCCGCTCCACTGAAGTCTCAGACCAGTGCACACTGTACGTGTGTGTAAGGCCTAGGAACTCATCAGGTCGTAGCCCATCTAAGCTGTGAGGCTTGACATCCCTCACTGAGACATTGGCAAATATAATGCGATCTCCGTGGAATTCTAGGTGGAAGTCCAAATGGGTCCAGAGTCCTATCTTGTGGCTGTGAGGCAGGAAGCCACTCTCCTCCATGTAGCCCACAAAGCCACGGATGGGCAAGTCATCCACCACAAATTCAAAGTAGTACAGTTCCTCAATGGCCTGGCGCAGCTGCTCCACCTACAAAGAGCAAGTCAGGAGTGAAAAGAGCTCTCTCAGCATCAGAGCAGGGCTTCTCAACCTCGGTCCTACTGACATTCGGGGCTGGGTAATTCTGTGTGGTGAAATTGATGTGTGTGCATTATAAGATGCACCGCCCCTGGCTTCTTCCCACTAATAACCACCCCCACCCCATGTCCAGTACTGACAATCAAAAATATCTCCACATTGCCAAACATCCCTTGGGAAACAAAACTGCACCCTGTTGAGAACCACTGAATTAGATCCTAGTGTGCTGGGATTCTCCAAAAAGTAAGCTTAACTTCACATGGTTAAAGCCTAGAAACAAGAGAGACGTGGGCCCTCTGGTGGCCAACAGGTTAAAGTGCAGCAGTGAGGCAAGCTGCAACTGCTTCAGTGCAAGTTCAATCCCCAGCCCCAGAGCTGACCCACATGGCACAGCAGACCACCTCTGACCCACCCGCTGATCCCCTCAGCAGTGTGCTTCATCCATCTGCCTGTTCTGCTTCCTGATCTGTCTCTGGTGAACCCTCACTGCCCCTGCACCTCTGGCCTGTACCCCAGTTCTGTAGGCATAAGTAAATATTTAAAAAAAGAAAAAGCAGAGGGGCAAGAAGGTGTAGGCCTGAAGCAGATAAGGGAAAGTACCCTAAGATCAGATTTGCTAAAGAAAAAAGCATGGTGGGGAAGACTAGACATAGTGTAAAGGAATAATTAAGAAAAAGCCAACAGGTAGTTATGGAAGGGAACAACTACAGAAGGATGATAGTTGGCATCTTATTACCAACAGAGAAGCTTTGCAATTCACTGTCCATGCAATCTTGAAAAAGTCATACCTGAGCAAATTATGTTTGCCAACTGAATGCAAATGCCACCTACCCTGCCTGCCACACAGGGTTGTAGTTAAAATCAAGTCAGATCATTTCTGTGAAGGTGCTTTGAAAACCATAAACATAAGGCACTGTGGTTATTAGTCCCTGGTAGGGAAGGCAGAGTGATAGCCAATGTGGAGAGGCTGACCTGTGCAGAACTGAGCTTCATGTGGCACAGAACTCTCTTCTCCACATTCTCCCGAAAGCGGATCTCGTACAAAGACTCAGCCATGCGGTCCCCATCCAGCACTTCGCCCAGACTAAGGCTTTTGTGGCGTATCTTTTCAGGGCTGCAGACTGGAAGCTGATAGTAGTGGTAGGTCTCTTGAGGGTTATGGTAGGGGCCCACTTTGTTGACGTACAGAATGACAGGGTCGCCGGCTTTGTAGTGTGTCAGTCCTTCCACTCCCGGCCCGTAGTCTGTGCCCAGCAACAGCATTAGGAATGGCAACCACTGGCAGCTCCAACTTCGAGGGTGCCCTAGGATTGTCATCCTTAAGGCTGTGGAACCCGTTTGAGGAAGTCCTGCAGTTACGGAAACCAAGGATCAACTCATGACGCCCCAGGTCAGAGCCTTCAAATTGACACCCAGTGGCTTTAAAATTCCTCCCCCTGGTGTTTCCCCACCCTTGTCGGGAGGCCACCCTTCAACTTCCACACCACATCTCAGTCCCAAAGAATGGGCTCTGTCTCTGCTTTCTAGACCGCTCAACCGGGGGTGCGCCCATGCACCCCCAACCCCACGCTCAGCAGCCCGGGACCTCGGCGCGCGCCCAGTCGGTTTCCATGGCAACGCCACGCGGCCTCGCACCTCGGGCACCTTCCCGCCGCAGCCCCGGGGTCCTCACCGCGCGGGAGGGGCTGGCCGAGGCGGTGCCCGCGGCCTCTGCGGCCCCGTAGCTGCCCTTGGGCTCCTGCCGGGTCTCCCCGCAGAGCGGCGCGCCAGCGGCTGCCTGGAGGGGACCTGCCGGCCGACCTCCACCGAGCTGCCTGCGCCGTGCCTGATCGCAGCGGCTGCGGCCACACCTCCGGCAGCCTTGCAGTCGTTTCAGCTAGGTGCCCCCGGAGCGCGCTCCACAGCAGGAGGCCCAGCCCATCTCTGGAGACCCCGCCGGGCTCGGCCAGCCCGACCCCAGCGGGGTGGCGCGCCTGGCGATCGGAAGGCCGTCCACGACACGTCAGGCTTACCACTTCCGCCCTCACCCGCGGGGGCCTCAGCCGGCGGAAGGCTCCTTTCCGGGAGCCGAGGGCGGCCACGCCCCCGCCGCGCGGTCGGTACTTCGCTCGGCTCTCGGCTCTCTCGGGTGCGGGGGCCGCAGACACCTCTTCCGACCAGCGCCACCGCCGGGCCGCCCGGGCGTCCCTGGGAACATTCGGGGCGCCGGCGGAGGCCTGCGGACGCACCCAGGCGGTGGCACGGCGTCCGCCTCGTGGCGGCCGCGAAGAGTGTGCCGAGAGAACCGGACGGAGTGGGAACCAGCGGCTGAGGTGAGGCCGGCGCCTGAGGGGCCAGGGTCCCCAGCCCCGGCGGGAGGCGGCTTTGGGCTCGCTGCCGAGGACCGTGGGGACGCGGCTCTTGCCAAGGTGCTGACGAGTCTGGATCTGACCTCGCCGCTTCTCTCCCACCGTCATGAATAGCCCCCGCCAAAAAAAAAAAAAAAAAAAGCACATAAATAAAAATATTCTTCCGAAGCTGTACTGGTGACCTTCCTGGCCTTGCAATGACCGCCCCTCAGGGAAGGCAAGTCTGAGCGGAGTCACAGGTGGGCAGGAGAGCTGATCAACAATTCTTGCCTGTGTTCTTGATGCTTCTCTCCCATTAATTATTGCTACCAAATTAAGCCTTAATCTTGCGTCAATGTACCCGTCAGTATTCATGCTCCTAGTGAGTTCTCAGTGCTGTCCAGAGATCCTGCTCCTTTTCTAAATCAGTCTTCCATTCTCTTTAACCCATTCTCTGCAAACCTCTGAGAATGGGTGTACCTTTTCTCATTACTTGACCTCCCTTACAGTCTAGTGGGTGGTAAAAGCAAGAAAAGCAGTTACACGTACTATATTAAATGCTGCAACAGAAAGTATTGCAGCTGTGAGAACACCAAGAATTTTGAACTTCGATTTGAGTAAAAACTTCCTTAAAACAGCTCCTGAGTTATGTCCTAAAGGGAGAGTAGGAGTTTGTCAAGAAAGCAGGGAAAACAAAAGGAAAGCAACCCGTTCCCCTCCTCTCCAAAAAGAAAAAGTCTGTTTTGAGCATTTAACATCTGTTAAAAGATAAAATTGAACAGATAAGCAGGGTCAGATCATGAATCCACATGAAAACTTTTGGACTGTCCAATGGGGAGACACTGAATTATTTTAAATGGGAAAAAAGTCAGGTTTTTGGGCCTACAGGGTGAACTGGTAGAGCGGAGCAGAGGCTGACTAAACTGATAGTAAAGAAATGATGGAGGGCTGAATTAAGGTAATGGCAGTGAGCCTTGCATGTATTATTAAAGGGATTGTTAGGTCAAAAAAGGCAGGATTCAGTGATTAGCTGAAAGACTAAAGGGAGAGGAAGGTCTGGGATGACGATTGGCTGTTAAGGTGAGGACCAAGTCTGGGGTAAGAAAACAAGGAATGCAATTTTGGGCATGATGAGTTTAAGAGCGGGGAGAAATGCCAGTGTAATTTCCATTATGCAACTGGATGCTGAATTTGGAACTCTGGCGATATCCTGGGGGTTAGGAACAGTCAGCATTAAAGCAGTAATTTGAGATCCATAGGAATGGATGAAGAAAGGTGAGGAGGCTCCAATGAAGTCTGAGGAATAGCTGAGGGGATGGAGGAAATTATAGGGTTCAGGGCCATGGAAGGCAAGATAATCCATTTCCAGGTTAGGTGGAGTCTCAGCTATTCTTATAACTGTCTTTACTTGTAAAAGGTATGGATGTGATGTTTTGTGATTATGAACACAGCTTCGATTGGTCATGAAACTTCTGATTTTTTCCCTCTTAATTTTTTTTAAAGATTAATTTTTATTTATGCATACAAGAACTGGGGTGTAGGCCAGAGGTGCAGTGGGTGAGAAGATTTACCAAAGACAGAGTGGGGAGCAGAATAGGCAGATCTACTGAAATACACTGCTAAGGGGAACAGCAGGTGAGACAGGAGAGTTCTGCTGTGCCATGTGGGTCAGCTCCCTGGCTGGGCATCAAACTTTTGCTGCATGCAGTTCCTGGTGGTAGCACTGAGACTTAAACCCTTCGTCATCAGGGCAGCCCATTTTTTCCCCTCTTGAAATGCAACAAAGGTCTGGCCCTCCCTGATGGTGCAGCAGGTTAAAGCAAAAACACTGGGAAGTCAGCCACAGCCACTTCAACACTAGTTCGAGCCCCAGCCTAGGAGGTGACCCACATGGCACAGCAAACCTCTCGTCTCACCCACTGCTCCACTCAGCAGTGTATTTCAGTAAATCTGCCTGTTCTGTTCTCACTGCCCCTGCACCTCTGGCCTGTACCTCAGTTCTGTATGCTTAGTAAATCTTTTTAAAAAATGCAACGAAGTGCAGGAACTTGGGATAGAATGCTGATTAATAAGATCATAGGCAGCAGAAACAAACCATCCCAACTTTCATGAGACCACCAGATGAAACACTCAGAAGCCTGTTTTGCCACTTACAAAACACACAAGAAGATTGCTATTTTATGCCCAAAAAAAAAAAAAAAATAGAATCCTTTTAACATTCTTCTACAACACTTCGCAGTTATCTGAAATATTCTCACACTTACATTTCTCATATGGATTATAAATGTGAGGAGCCCAGGTACTCTATGGGCCTTATTGGCTGTTTAATGCCAGCGTTCTGCACAGTGCCTGGCAGAAGTGTCCTGTAACAGAAGTGGCCGACGGGACAAAATCTGTGGAGGGAGACTTGCCAGATTGCCAAGAATAATATGTTCTAGACCCCACTTCATTCTCCAGCATTGTGGCAATGGTGAATAGAAGGTGAATTGTGATGTGTGTGGAACATGGGCCCTTAGGGAGTTCCATTACCAAGAGGAAAAAGAAGTAACAACAGCCAGTGGAAACAAAGAACTGCTTCTCCCTTCTTCTCCAAGTTCCTAGTGGAGCGCTGAGCCCAGCCTCCCCGGCTTGTGTGACTACCCAGGCAAGCATCTGGAGACATAAGTTCACTTTGGTACCCGCGCCCTCGAAGGCTTGAGGTGTTGGATTCCTGAGCACACAGGAGGCTTTTAAGTAGCAACGCTTCCTGCTCTCACTAAGCCCAACACCATGGGGAAGGGAGACACGGAGGCGGCCCCAACCACCACGGCCTATCGCTCCGTCATGGAAGAGTACGGTTACGAGGTGGGCAAGATCATTGGCAACGGCTCCTATGGGACAGTGTATGAGGCTTACTACACAAAACAGAAGGTCATGGTGGCGGTCAAGATCATCTCAAAGAAGAAGGCCTCTGAGGACTATCTTAACAAGTTCCTACCCCGTGAGATACAGGTTGGAAAGGGATTGGTGAGGGAACTGATTCAAGCTGCTTATGGCTTCACAGAAGGGGGATGGTGAGGAGGGGCTTGGGCCAGAATCCCCCAAACCAGAACTAAATGTCTCCCTAAGCAGCTAGGAAAACCTAGAGGCCGATGTGTATCCACCTCCCTGTTTACCTCCAGCCCCTCAAAAAAGTGGAAGCACGAAGCATAGGCTTGCCCAGTTTCCCAGTCCCGGGGTTTGTGCTGCAAGTAGCAGAGAGTAGGGGGCTGGGAGCACAGCCACGGTCCCCCCTTCCCAGGTTTGATAGGTCCTTCTTCCTGGGCCAGGTAATGAAGAACCTGAGGCATAAGCACCTCATCAACTTCTATCAGGCTATAGAGACCACATCCCGAGTGTACATCATCCTGGAGCTGGCTCAAGGTGGTGATGTCCTTGAATGGATCCAGCACTATGGGGCCTGCTCTGAGAACCTTGCTGGCAAGTGGTTCTCCCAGCTGACCTTGGGCATTGCCTATCTGCACAGCAAGGCCATCGTGCATAGGTGAGGACACCAACTTCCAGACTGGGGCCTTTGGGCTCTTCAAGGGTTTTAGGTACATCTGCTGTTTTCTACCCTCTTTTTCCTTGACCTCCTGCCTTAGTGTCTAGGCCCATGTGTCCACTATTTTAATCACCTGGTCAAGAACATAAGCACTCGCTGGGGTAGAAGTGGGGAAACAGTGCAGAGAACTTGACAAAACACAATGGCATCTCGCTCCCACTTTGTATTTCCTCAGCTAAACCCTGTGGCCCCCAGCCCTTCAGCTCCAGGTCTAATACTAAGCCCTCTCCCCAGCCTGACCCCCAGCCTTTCTGCCGCTGGTAGGGACTTAAAGTTGGAGAACCTGTTGCTGGATAAGCGGGAGAACGTGAAGATATCGGACTTTGGCTTCGCCAAGATGGTGCCTAGTAACCAGTCTGTGCGTATTAGCCCTTCTTACGGCCAAATGAACTGCTTTGCCCACCTCAGCCAGACCTACTGTGGGAGCTTTGCCTATGCCTGCCCAGAGATCTTGCTAGGCTTGCCCTACAATCCTTTCCTGTCTGACACCTGGAGCATGGGTGTCATCCTCTACACGCTAGTGGTTGCCCGTCTGCCCTTTGATGACACCAATCTGAAGAAGCTGCTGAAAGAGACTCAGAAGGAGGTCACTTTTCCATCCAACTGCAACATCTCCCAGGAGTGCAAGGTGCCGGCTCCCCCAGGAGGGCTGAGGCCTCAGGGCTGACCCACAGAGAGGGAATACCCAACTCGGGTCTCCCAACCCGGAGGAAAATTCTTTCCCACTACTCCCTTGAGTCATCTCGTGCCCTGCCCCTGCCTTAGGACAGTGGGGAGGGCATGAAGGGCTACCACTCCTGCAAGTGGTAAGTAGGTTTCAGCTTCTATTTCTACAGGGCAGAGGGGATTATGCTGAGGATCTCCCCAAAGAATCCCCACTCCTCCCCTTTCCCTTAGGGAGCTGAATGCCTTGCTCTTAGGATAAAATCAGGGCACATCCCCTTTCACCAGTGGTGTGATGGGCTGTCCTGCCTCTCTAGATTCGGCTGCTCACTGCCTGTGTGGTACACTGGGGGGTGTGGGGGGCAAGCTCAGCCAAGACTTCTCTCTCCCCTGCCCTAGAACCTGGTCCTCCAGATGCTAAGCCAAGCCAACAAGCGTGCCACCGTCCTGGACATCATCAAGAACCCCTGGGTAATCAAGTTCCAGCCTGAGCAACCCACCAATGAGATCCAGCTTCTTGAGGCCATGTGCCAGCTCCCCAACTTTACTATTCAGCAAGCCAAATAAGTCAATACCTGAAAGTGGCTGAGGGGGAGCTTGAAGAGGAGCAAAGGAGGGCATGGGGCTAACATTTTTTTATACCAAAATAAACCTAATTCTGATTTAGTTTCATCAGTTGGGGGTCAAAGATTCTTTCTTCTGGGAAACCTTAGCAGCTGAGGGCAATAAAGATTTATAACCTGCCTCTAACCACTAATCCTGATAGCTGTGAAGTCAACACTTTAACTCACAACATTGCTCCTTTGTGGCTCACGGGGGAAGGCGCTGTGCAAGTGACCACGGAGGGGGGCGGCGCCCTGGCAGCTGCTTAGTGAGGGCTCAGGCTGTCTCTAGTCCAAGGGATGGCAGTGTTCCTCCTTTTAGAAATGGTCTCAGGGTAGGTGAAACATTTTGGTTTCTTCTTCCTCACCTGTAGCCACTATTGACAGAATCCCAGTGAATCGCGGCCTCTTACTTACTGCTCCTGGATACATAAATGCCTCTTCAAACTACGCCTGTTTAAATTTAGAGGTTCTGGATAAAGGAAAGCTACTTGCCCCTTGAACCCTGTGTTCTCCCTCCCTGGCTGTGAAAATGAGTGTTGCAAAAGGAAAATGGGTAGCATATAATGGCGCTCTCATGGCAGAAGCATGATCTGGGACAATGATGAGGGAGGACTCGGACAACTCCATGTAGTTCCAAGATAAATTACAGATGGTAGTTTCCTCAACCTCGGATTTAGGCAAATCTAGGAAAACCGGCTTGGAAGAAAAGGCTGTGTATCTGCCTAGAACACAGTAGGCTGACAGATTCCACTTGATCAATGTTCTAACACCCCTTCATTACTCCAGTTCTTCTTCATTGCTTGAAACAAAGCTCCAAGGACCAGAGGAAGAATTTCCAGTGCAGACAAGGTGGTGTAAACACTGAAGTTCCATGTGTCCAATTTTATTGGGAACAGGACACTGTAACAGCTATCAAAGAGAAGCGGGCCAGGGGTTCCTCCCAGGGATGGGAGAGCAACAGATCCTTTTGTCAGGCAGGGTCACACTATCACTTTCAGCAGGACATCCCCAAAAAGGCTACGTTCCTTTATGCTCAGTTCCTTTAGCTCATTTGGCACTTAAGGAGAAGAGAGCAATGAAGGCAGCATTAGGAAGACAAGGCCAGACTCATCAGGATACCCACTCAGCCAGCTGCTTTAATTCTTCTTCATCTTCATCCGCTTTGGGAGCTTTGGGGACAAGGACACCCAGAGAAAGAAAAGTGTTATGGCCTGAGCAACTGCAATACCCCCTGCTAAAACACTAAACACCTGCTGAATTCTCTCCCCAGCAAAGAACGTACAGGGTGCGCCTTCCACTCTCTGGGGTGCTGCTGAATCCCACTGCACCTTTCCACACTAAGAGAAAGGCGCCTCTCCCCCAGCTCCTGATCGCCGATCAGGGGCAGTTTGCTGCGTGGAGCACAGCTGCGTGTCAGCCCCACTCCCCTTGGCCCAGGTGACCCTGTCAGTCAACAACTGTGTGAGTGCAGCAGCAGCCCTGGCCTGGCTCCCGAGGCAGGATGGAGGAGGAACAATCTCCCCCGTGTCTACCCACCCTCATTCGTTCGTCTTTGAGGCGACAAGGAGCCCTGGTACCTGGCCCTGCAGGCAGACGTGTCGAAGGCACACTGGGCAGTTTGACTGGGGGTTCTTTGTCCTCGTTGTCCACATTTAACAGTTCCCGGGCCAATTCCTCCTGCTCCAGCTCTTCTAGTTCCTCCAGTAGTTCATCCTGGATACGGGACAATAAGGCTCTTCAAGTCAAAGAACATATGCTTCTACTTCCCAAAACATACCACTTTGTTCCTTCCCAAGCCTGCCCCACAATTCTCTTGGCATCCCTTCTGGCTGGTGCCATGCACTCTCCAAAAACCCCTAAACCCTTGCTCCTAATCACCTCATCCACATCATCTCCAAAGCCTACAGGCCTGCTGATAGCATCTGAGATCTGCTGGGCCACTTCCTGTTGTTCTGTGATGTCAGCCATCAGTTCATCCACCTTGTCGATGTCCCTGAGAACAGGATAGATAGCCGAGAAATCAGACAACTTCCCCGACTTTCTCATCTCATTAATAAATTCCCTCTTGCCTGTGGCCTCAAGACTTAAATCCACGGATACTGATAGAAGGGGTCCCTGGAAGATTACAAAGCAGCAGCAAGCCCTGGCTGAGAAACAGCTAGAAGGCACACTGGGAGGATGAGGTGCACTCATCGTTCCTCCCCAGTGTCCTAACCAGCAGAGATCTTGCTGGAAGAAAGGATGACAAAGATCTAGCCTTCGTCAGCATCTCTACTGTAGAATATAGTATACATGTGAATACATACTGAGGTTTCAAATTCAAAGTACAATATCAAGTAACTGTCCCAGGGCCTGTGCCACTTTCCTCCCCTCCCCCCGTACCCACATGTCCTGGTAGGCCTTCTTCATGCCTTTGGCAGCCAGCTCCATGGTACGAAGCACTTCCGTATTGGTGGTGGCATTCTCAATGGCCTCACGCTGAAACTCCAGGGTAGATAATGTCCCATCGGTTTGTGCCAGTTGCTGTTCCAATCTTTTCTTTCTCCGTAAAGCCTGTAGGGCAGCTGACCCAGCCCATACCCTGAACATCAGAGCCAGGAGATGCCGTTTCCCACCTGGACCCTCCCTCCTGGTGCCTTTCACCCTATTACCTCTCTTATTTTTGGTCCCATGCTTCTTAGCTGTTTGTAGCTCCTGTTGAATCTTCTGCTCCAGGAATTCCTGTTTCTTGACCAGTATTTCCTCTGTCTCCTTCAATTTCTGAATTGCCTCTTCAGGGGTTGGCCCCTTCTCCTTCTTTCCTGGAGTCCAATGGAGCAGGCCCACGTTGTGTGAAAGAAAATACTAGCCACCAACCACAGAGTGCAAAGGATATGTAGACACTTGACTGTTATCAATCTCAACATGACTTTATAATGAATGTGCTATCTTCATTTTACAAATGTTAAAACAGGCACAAAGATGTTAAAACCTTCTGTCTAAAGTCACAAGTTACAAGTTATGAAGACACATTGAGCAAGACTTGAAATGTGGCAGCATGATTTCGAAAGTCATGTTTCTGCTAAAGTCGTTTGTTAACATTCATTTGCTATTTGGTCCAAGCTGCCTTTCAAGTTATTGTCTAGTCTTTTTTTTTTTTTAAAGATTTATTATTTATGCATACAAGAACTGAGGTACAGGTGAGAGGTGCAGGGTAGGGAGTAAAAGGATTCACCAGACGGAGTGGGGAGCAGACTGACTGAAATAACACTGCTGAGAGGAGCAGTGGGTGAGATAGGAGGGGTCTACTGCACCTCTCTGGCCAGGGATCAAACTCAAGCTGTGGTGGTTTTGGTTAGCTTCATAGTGCTGTGCTTTAACCCTTTGCACCACTAGGGAGGGCCCTATTGCCAGTGTTTTTAAAATATTAATGGACTTTTTAAAAAAGATTTTTTATTTATAGAAGAGGTGAGGTACAGGTCAGAAGGGAGAGGATTCATCAGAGACAAGAGTAGGGTGCAGATGAGGGAAACAGCACAGAGGTCTGTGTGCCAAAGCTGGGTTAGCTCCTTGGTCACAGATTCAACTCAGGCTGTCACTGTGAAAGCATTGAGACTTAACCAGTAGGCCATCAGGGAGGCCCCAATGGATTTTATTTTATTTTTTAAAGATTTATTTATTAGGCCCTCCCTGGTGGCGCAGCGGGTTAAAGCGCAGCACTGAGAATCTGAAGCCACTTCCACATGAGTTCGATTCCCGCCTGCCGCCTGCCCCGGAGGAGACCACATGGCGAGCCAGACCTCTCCTGGCCCGCCCGCTGCTCCCCTCAGCAGTGTACTTCGTCCATCTGCCTGTTCTGCTCCCCACTCTGTCTCTGGTGAAGCCTCTCACCGCCCCTGAGCCTCTGGCCTGTACCCCAGTTCTGTATGAATAAATAAATCTTTAAAAAAAAAAAAAAGATTTACTTATTAGTTATGCATACAGAGCTGGGATATAGGCCAGAGGTGCAGGGGTGGTGAGAGGATTCACCAAAGACTGAGTGGGGAATAGAACAGGCAGATCAATGAAGGGAATCCCCTGCTGAGGGGAGCAGTGGGTGGGTCAGGAGTAGTTTATTTCTTAAACTACCATGCCTGGACTTTATTTCTTAAGAGTAGTTTTAGATCCACAGCAAAACTGGACTTTATTTCTTAAGAGTAGTTTTAGATCCACAGCAAAACTGAGTGGAAGGCACAAAGATTTTCCATATATCCACTGATCTCATACACGCATAGCCTACCCATTATCAAAATCCCCATGAGAGTCCAGTCACTTAATAATGATGATGCACTTGTAGTCCTAGGAGATGCCTAAGGTCCTGACTCCACAGGACAAAACTAAATTAAGTACAGGGGCTAGAGAAAAAAAAAATCTGATTTCAATTTTCTCCTTCATTTTTCAATTTTCTAACAGGGTTATTTGTTTCAAAAAAGATTTCTTTATTTATGTATACAAAAGCTGGGGTGTAGACTAGAGGTGCAGGGGGTGAAAGGATTCATCAGAGAATGGGGAACAGAACAGGCAGAACTACTGAAAACCACTGCTGAGGGGTGCAGCCGGTGAGACAGGAGAGGTCTGCTGCACTGTGCAGCCGGTGAGACAGGAGAGGTCTGCTGCACTATGTGGACTAGGTCCCTGGCCTACGATCAAACTCACTTTGCAGTGGCTGCTGACAGCTTCATAGTACTGAGACTTAACCCCTTGTACAGCTAAGAAGGTGTTATTAGGAGGGAGGCCCTAATAAAGGTTATTTAGTTATTTTTACAGATTTATTGATACATACAAGAACTGGGGTAAAGGTCAGAGGTGTGGGGGCTGGTGAGCAGGTTCACCAGAGACGGAGTGGGGAACAGAACAGGCAGCTAGGCTGAAATACAATGCTGAGGGGGCAGCAGATGGGACAGGAGAGTTCTGCTGCACCATGTGGGTAACCTCCTTGGCTGGGGATTGAACTTGTGTTGCAGCAGCTGCGGAGAGCTTCATAGTGCTGCTCCTTAACCCACTGTGCCACCAGTCGGGACCCCTAATAGTGTTATTTAAAAAAAAGTTCGAAGGTTCTTGCCTACTTAAAATCTTTCCATACTTCAGATCCTACAGAATAACATCTAAAGATTTTGGAAAGAGACATACAAGGTCCTTTGTGATTTGGTCCTTCTTTACCTCTCCTGCTTTCCTCTTTCCCTCAGGGTGCGCAGGATCCTGTGTATGCAGGAAAACACACTCACTCCACAGTGGAGGCAGAACGCCTTTTCTCTAAACCATTCTCTCTCCTGTTTTTTGCAGCTACCTCTTACTGCAGTACCTCTACCTGGCATACTGCTATTATTGTGGCTCTCCACCCCATACCTGCTTCTTCTGTGCTTCCCTAGTTTTGGGAAGGACCTCCATCACGGAGTTTCAACACTACCTTGTAAGTGACAGTTTTTGCTTCTGCTACCAGACAGGAGCGTCAAGAACATAACCTTTCTTATTCATCTCAGATTCTCTTTTGCCCAGTATAAAGTAAGCACCACAGTTTTGAAAAACGTGGATCACGACAGCTGGAAACACGCGCCCTAAGCCTAAAGACCCGGAGCCAGAACGGTCACCAAGCCCTCCAATCACATCCCCTGGATCCAGGGCCTCCAGCTCTTCCCTCTAGAGGTGGGGGATGAGGGTGATGGAAGCAAAGCAGACCGAGCAATGCTCCCCGACAAAACGGCTTTTCAAGAAAGCTCGTCTCCTGGGTCTGCTGCCCGCCCGGTGCGGTCTCCACGCCCCGTCCCTTCCCCCTGTGCCCAGCACCTCCCCAGACAGCCAGTCTCGCCCCGGCTCACCCCTGCCGAAGAGTCGGCCCAGACCACTCATTGCGCCCTCGCCTCTCCAGTCAAGCCCCGCCGCGTCCCCCACACTTCCGCCTTGCCCCCGGGAGGTGTGCCTCCTCCCTCCCGGGCCGGGCTCAGCCAATCCCTCCTTGGGCTCCGCGTGACGTCATCAGCGGGCGCCAACACGGTCAGTTCTGTCACGTGGCCCGAAACCCAGGGCTCCTTAAAGCGGCCGCTTCCATTTCCACTACATACATAAACAATTTACCCCCACCGCAAAACAAAATATTTGTTTCCGGGACGGAAACAGACAGAACAGTGCACCCCACTACCGAGAACCAGTGGGAGGGTTATTCACGCCCTTTACGGAGCTCAGCAAAGGGGGTGGTGATGAGGCCGAAAGGGGGCTCTGTGCCCACCTGGTTTGCCCCAAGTTGACAAGGCAGAACCTGATGCAGTTTAATGCCTCACGCTTTGGTCTCGGTAACTTTAGAGTGCCAAGCCTGGGTTCACACACTGGAAAAATAAATAATCCACGGTGGGTGAGATATGCCACACACAAATACACTTTAATAATTTACAAATACATCTGAACAAAGTATCCCTGTGAACCATTCAGTTCTTTGCTCCAAATGAGGCTCACCCACAGGACCCTCAGGGTCCAGCTTGCACCTTTGCAAAAGCCTCCAACCCTTGAGTGAGGGTTTTAAGACTCATTCCATTCTGGACATGAATGCAGGTAACACCTAGGAAGAAAAGAAGCCACATTTCACCAGGCCTTCCTGGTTCCATATTGTTACACTCACCTTTTTGGGTGTCACCTGTCATGGAAACTATCGAGTTGGTACATCTTTACCTAACCCCTCTTAAGCACTGTCGCCTCATTTCCCAAATGGCTATCCTCACCACTCAGTACCCAGTTTGCTGACGTCAACAATATTCCGATTCTCATCGTCAAAGAAGATCATCTGGGAAAAAGGGACTCCGGTCTTTTGCTGTAACCTGTGTAAGACAGGACAGAGGGTAACCACACTGGCTTCTCAGCCTCTGAACCCCTCTGGTCTCTCTACCTGCTTCTACCCTATTTCTGCTTACCTCTGGAAGTGTGTGACCTTGCTGCCTGGATAAATTTCCTTATGAACGAAATGTCTGCTAAGGTTAAAGAGCTCCAGTAGCTGGGTGGCCCCTTTAATTTCACCTGTCCTGCAAAACGGCAAAATAGATGGGTTCAGGAATGTGGAGGAGGGCCATGGTTCTATGCGAAGTTATGCATAACCTGGGGGAAATCAACTTGCTATTTTCCGCGAAAGGGAGGCATCTTTGGCCTTTATGTCCATCTGACTGGTGGCACTGAGCCTATGTTTAATAAACAAAGGGCACAGGAAAGGAGGTAAGTCGAAAACTATGCAAATACTTGCAAATTTGCACCACCTACGTATCGGTAGCCAAGTGGTTACACAATAAGTTTCATACGCGCATCTCACAGCATTAGACTGACAATTATTTTCAGTCGCTTTTCTTACCTGGAAGCTGCCGCAACCAGCACCCCAAGGCCCCGCAATCGTTCCAGGACTTCAGGCACCTCTGGGTACAGTCGGATGGTTTGACCTCGCATATCTCGTACAGTTTCATCACTGGAGAGGGCGAGAGCGCACTCAGTACAGTCGGGCCCTTGCCTGCACCATCCTCCCTTGCTCTGCCTCACCTGCTCTTGTGGAACGGGGGGTCTACGTGTGTGTCCACCCAAAATGGCCAGAGCGTGTAATCTGCGAGAGGAATGCGGAGGGTTCAATTTTGGAGGGCAAAGGGCGTTGAGAGAGGGGCAACTCGGGTCTGGAAAAGGAGGGCACCCAGATAACTCTCCAATCGGGTCCCTCACCCAGATCAAAGACTGCGAGCTTCGGGAGCCGGGCCATGACGGACAAACCCCCAGTTCGCGCACAGGAAGACGCGACTTCCTAGAGGATGTAGAGGCTGCTGCACGCCCTCCCCTTCACTGGTCTTAGGGAAAAAGACTAGAGCGTCGCCACACCGAGATGGGACCGTAGGCCTGGAGGCCGTGCAAGGGCTCCTCCTGGTGGTGGAGTGGAGAAAGTACTACAGAAAAGCGCCAAAGTGGTCAGCTCTTTCCAAGAATCAAGCCCTTTTCTATTTAGCCTCGCCAGGTTCTCCTGAACTAGAAAAGACAGGGAAAGGAAGCCCTTGCTTCTGGCACTTATCTCATTTTATCTTATCAGTCGAGATAATGATCTCTCATAATTTGTGTCATTTCTCACTCCAGCTTACTCCTTATCAGCCTCTGAGTAGTATCAAACACAAGTGTCTCAGCATTTCAGCCATAAAGAATGTAATGCCTGCAGTCCTTGAGGATTTTCTCTAAGTAGGCCAAATTTCCAGTAGGAACACATGGGAGGGAATTCACTTTTGTGGCTGCTACACCTACATCAGTAGTCTGCTGGTAGATGCATAACCTTTTGGGAGGGAGGGAATGATTTGTACTATTCCTCGATTTCTGTAAATATTTTTTCCATGACTAATTTCCAGCTACCAATGTGAAATCCCCAATATGGGATTGGGAAGAGATACCAATAAACTCTGTGAACCTGTAAGAGCTGGTTCCAGGAGGCAACAGAATATAGGCTTTCCCAGAACCTGTGATTCCTCTAAGCATACATTCCCTTCCCTTGTGTAGCTCTTTCAACCTGGTAAAACTGGGTGTGCAATGAGTCCATTCTTATTTTTTTTTAAATATTTATTTACGCATACAAGAACTAGGATACAGGTCAGAGGTGCAGAAACAGAGTGGGGAACAGAACAGGCGGATTCACTGAAAACCCACTAAGTAGAGCAGCAGGTGAGACAGGAGAAGTCTGCTGCATTATGTGGGTCAGCTCATTGGCCAGGGATTGAACTCATGCTGCAGTGGCTGCAGACAGCTCCATAGTGCTGACTTACCTCCTCGCACCCCCAGGGAGGCCCTTCATTCAGATTTTAGTCATATATGTGCAACAGAAGAGAGATTCCAGGAGGCGAAGAAATATTTTATTGACAACCAGGGACACAGTCATAAGAGAGGAAAGCACACAGGACTGCAAACTAAAACCCAATTGCCAGCTAGGGCGCTTTGGGCCAGGAACAATGCATCCTGGGGTCCTCACAGTCTCCCACCAGTAGACACACAAGACTGGGCATCCAGGAGAGGGGTCAGTGGCTCTGGTGTCCCAGAATGTGAGAGGATAGATGATGCCTCACTCTGACCGACAGGGTAAAGGAGTAAAGTGGAGGGAGGGTCCATCATTGCCTAAGACCACCTCCTCCTCTAAGAGCCAACACCAGGTGGAGAACGGAGCCACCCAGGATCTTATAGTCAGCCGCTGTCTTCTCATCATTCCTAAAGAAACAGGAGGCAAAAAAAAAAAAAATTAGAAATACTATCTAGAACAGAACTCTTCATCTGGATTTCTAGTGTGGTGGTGGTGTCTTGATGAGAAAAAAACTAACACCTTTATCTTTGTGAATCCCTGAAATTTTATATTTCTTTCAATTTTGAACACAGACAAGACCCCATGGTGGTTATCAGCTATGTGGGTAACCATTAACAACAAAAATTGGATATATTCAATCATGTCATAATTATGTACAACTATCTTCAAAATATTTCAAAAGTATGGTAATTAGATCTTAATGTATTAATAAAGAAGCACTATATTATTATATCACAAGTTTGTTTTAGTCTTTTGATAGGTATACTAGTTTCTTTTGTAACTGTTTTATGCCTGCAAAAATCGTAATTCTGAGAAGGGGTTCACACACAGGCTTCACAAAAATGCCACAGGGTCCAAGGCACCAAGAAAAAAAGGCAGGCTTGCTCCCCTACGTACTGCGTCCTGATTTTCACTAAGTTGGCTATGCCCTCATTCCCATTCCAAACTCACATCTGTTTACCACTGTAGATGAGCCGCTGCTGTTGTGGGGGTATTCCTTCTTTCTCTTCCACACGCTCCTTGATTCGCTCCACCTTTAAGGGTATAAGTGCTCAAGGGTAGGACCACGGAAGTGGAAAGAACAAAAACTATGCAGACAGCATGAGAACAAAAGGACTCAGTAAACCAACATATCCAAGCAAATGCACTTGGTGGGGAGACAGGTATGAAGAGGTGTTGAGTATATATATATATATATATTACCTTGTCTGTGGGTTCAATGTCAATCTCAATCTCCTTTCCCGTCAGCGTCTGAAATAAGCAAAGATTTCATGAATTCTTCTAGCCCAATACACAATTTATCTCACAGGTAAAAACACCCTGTCTTGGTCTCTGACAATATACATTCTTGGAGAGATTCTCAGCAAAGTTGCTTTGGAAGAGTCAGAAATCTTTGATCGTAACTGAATTCATCAAACATTTTCAGAGTGTGGACAACTTTAATAGGGCAATACTATGAGAAACTCCTGACCCTCTTAATCCTACAGATCCTCTCACATCCTACCCCACTAGAATGCAGGAAAACACTGGCATTCCTTTAGCTAAGAAAGCAGTAAGAAGAACCCAAAGGAAAGCATTCCTTTGAAACAGAAGAACCTTGTTCATATTATCAATACTAGAAATTAACATACAGACAATTCAAAGAATTCTCAAGGACATCAGTGATCAATACTGCCGTTTTCAGTCAGCACCAGAATTCAATATTCTGTTCTTCCATTTCAATGAACTTCTGCATAAATCTTAAATTACAGCTCTAACCTTCCATAGGTTAAGAGGGCTGTGTTTGGTACACAACAGACTAACTGTACACTTACAAATATTATGACCTTTTAGTCCTATCTGTCCTTGCTCCTCCCAGACCACACACATACCATGTTTAATATAAGGATTTTTTTTTTTTTTTACTTCTGTTTCCTTGTGGCCATATCCTCCCCACTCTTTCTAAACCTTCAAGAATTCTCTAAAGCAAGTTCAATGACTTGTCTCCAAAGTACTTTCATACCTATTATGGTTGTTGTTTAAATAGTAAACTCTGCAACTTACACTCCAACTTTCTAAAGGATACTATTTATCTTCTCAATCTAAGCACATAGTAAGTATTGTGGAATGGCTAAGTAGGCCAACTATCAAGTTATAATCATCAACATTTAGTGAATATTTTCCAAGAATCAAACTATACTGTCTTTTTTTTTTTTTTAAGATTTACTTTTATTTATGCATAGAAGGACTGGAGTCAAGGTGTAGGGAGTGAGAGGATCACCAGGGACAGAGTGGGAAGCAGAACAGGCAGATCAACGAAGTACACTGCTGAGGGGAGCAGCAGTGAGACAGGAGAGGTCATGTGGGTCAGTGCCCTGGAACTCATGGAATTCATGCTGTAGTGGCTGGTAAAAGCTTCCTAGTGCTGAGATTTTTAACCCCTATGCTGAGTGTCTGACATGAATATAGTTAAACTTTCTATTACATATGAGACATGTACTATTATTATCACCATTTTTATAGAAGAGGAAAATGGGGCTTTCCTGAAGAGTCAAAAAAAGAATGTGGATCCAAACACAGACACTCTGGCCCATGTCTGAACTTTCAGCTTTGTACTCACTACTGCCTGGGTCTAGTTTTGGGCTTAATGTATGCTCCTATGGGAGCTTCACATGTGGTCTCCACTCACATTCACAAACACCAGCACGAAGAAAACACTTAGAAACTAACTTCCTGATCTCAGGAGTGATTCTAAATGTTTTCTAAAAAAATGCAAGAGTCACTCCTTTGGATTTATCTGTCTAATGCAAAAGTATATATAAGCAGTTTCATCTCAAGTTTCTACCTTTGTGTGAAAATTTTCAATAGTCTACGGTAAAGGAGAAAAATGGGAAGAGAGATTTTCATGAAACTAAATATATAGGTGTTAAAATGTCTTTTAATAATGACAGTGACTTTTAGGGTTTTTTTTAAGGCCCTTTCCTGACAAAAATGAAAAGTTTACGGTTCACAAGTTACTTCACTTAATTGACCTTAATACTTTTCTTCAGAAAAATTTTAAATGCAAAAACTTTTGAAGAAACTTGAACGTGTATCCAATAGAAACATGTCAGGTTGACTGCAGCATCATTTGTAAAAGCAAAACATTAAAAACAGCCTAATGTCTATTAAAAAGAAAACTATTAAACTATGGCACATCCATAGAATGCTATATTTTTAAGCAACAGTTTATAAATAAAATGTATTTATCAAATTCTGTTTGTATATATGTACATAAACAAGTATCTTATTATAGTGATTATCTTTGAGGTGAGTAGGACTGAGGGGTTTAACTTAATGTATATTTCCTTTCTCACATAAATATTATAAACAAATATTCATTCTGATTTATTAAAAAAAATTAAAGAATATAAAAAAGGCTCTAAGAGAAGACCTGAAAAAAAAATCACTAGACTATAAGATCTAAAACTCTACGACTGCTCTTTTGTTTCTGAAATTGACTGTGGAAGCCCATTAATGTATTCAGATAGCAACCTGGCAATATAATGTCCCATCAACAGCACTTCAGGTAAAATCATGACTATGGCCCTCCCTGGTGGCGCAGCGGGTTAAAGCACAGCCCTGAGAATCTAAAGCCGCTTCCGCATGAGTTTGAACCCCGCCTGCCCCGGAGGTGACCACATGGTGTGGCAGACCTCTCCTGGCCCACCCGCTGCTCCCCTCAGCAGTGTACTTGGTTGATCTACCTGTTCTGTTCCCCACTCTGTCTCTGGTGAGGCCTCTCACCGCCCCTGAGCCTCTGGCCTGTACCCCAGTTCTGTATGCACAAATAAATAAATCTTTAAAAAAAAAAATCATGACTATGTCCAAAAATGTAGCAATGACAAGGTACCCATAACTGCCTTTTAGCACTGAAAAATTAGAAATATTATCTAAACATTCAACAGCTGAGGTCTAACTAAATTATGATTCAAACATGGAGGAAAAATTATAGTCTGCAAATGTTTAGAATAACAATGTAATTCC